ACTATGGTAGGGAATCTTGGGATGATCATAATCATCAAAACGAACCCCAAACTGCACACCCCAGTGTACTTTTTCCTCAGCCACCTCGTGTCTGTGGATTTCTGCTATTCCTCTACCATTGCCCCCAAGACTCTGGTGAACCTAGTGGTCAAAGACAGAACCATCTCATTTTCAGGATGTGCAGTACAATTCTTTTTTATTTGTGCCTTTGTGGTGGCTGAATCTTTGTTATTAGCTGTGATGGCATATGACCGCTTTGTGGCTGTTTGTAACCCTCTGCTCTACACAGTTGTCATCTCCCAGAAACTCTGTGCCATGCTGGTGGTGGGTTCATATGCGTGGGGAGTGGCATGTTCCTTGATACTCACATGCTATGTTTTAAAATTATCTTTTCATGGCTTCAACACAATCAACCACTTTTTCTGCGAGTCCTCCTCACTGCTCTCCCTCTCTTGCTCTGACACTTTTATCAACCAGTTACTTCTTTTCATTTTTGCCACCTTTAATGAGATAAGCACACTGCTCATCATCCTCACGTCTTACGTGTTCATTGTTGTCACCATCCTCAAGATGCGCTCAGCCAGTGGGCGCCGCAAAGCCTTCTCCACCTGTGCCTCCCACCTGACCGCCATCACCATCTTCCACGGGACCATCCTCTTCCTCTACTGTGTGCCCAACTCCAAAAACTCCAGACACACAGTCAAAGTGGCCACAGATTAGCAAAATATAATGATTCTTTGTTTCAGTTTTCTCGGAGATGTCTCCGTAGTGCCATCAAGTTTTTAATCCTTCTCCTTTACAGGTAACAGGGGCAGAATGAATAACATAGGTAACTAGAAGGGAGAGGGAAGATAGAGACCTAGGCAAAGGAAGTTTCTAGGTCAGAGTCTTTTACTATATTCAGTTATCACTCGTTAGTGTACATTCAGAAATGGAAATCATGTCAAAGTGATAACTGTACTTGCATGTTTCTTGCAGTTCTATAGTAAAGAGTTGGAACCAACCTAGATTCCAAACAATGCATGCCTGAATATGGAAAATGGTGTGTGTGTGTGTGTGTGTGTGTGTGTGTGTGTGTAATGAATACTACTCATCCACAAAAAAAATTAAATTCTGCCATTTGTTCCAAAATGGATAAACTTAGAGAAAATTATTTTAAATGAAATAAGTCTCTCACAGAAAGAGAAATACATTTCCTCGCTTTTAAGTGAGATTTTTAAAAAAATGAAGAAACAAACAAAGACAGAACAATCATAATAATTCATGGAATTCTTGAAAGGAAAGAACACAAGATACTCCATCAGAGGTGAAAAGAAAGATAGGGTGGTATACTGAGAAACTGGTAAAGTGCCACAAAAAGATGATTACATTGTGTAATGTTGAGTGTACTAATTATCCTGATTTGAGCATTACATATTACATAGAGGCACAGACATTCAATGCTGTGCCGCCCTTGTATGTACAATCAATTAAGCTTCAATCAATCAATCAATCAATAAAGTAATCAAATGACACTACCTGAATATGAAGATCATAATGAACATCACTAAAAGTTGAAAACCAAGTTAACATGCACCTCCCAAACGGATGAAACTGACAGCAGCTTGAATCTCCTAGGTAGAATACTTGTCTAAAAGAAGCTAAGGAGAAAAAAAAAAAAAAGGAAACTAAGAGAATGAACCTGAACTTATAAAGATTTTTGATCTGAAAATTAGCTTAAAAACATTGGTGCAGAAACAAGTTTAATGACACCAAATGAAGAAATGAGCCGAATACAGTGCATGGAGTATTCCACAAATGGTCCATTTTTTTCCTGAAAAAATTACCTGAACACACACACACAACCTCCCACACAGAAAACTGTTACATAATAAAATAAACTTAAATATAACAACCAAATTAGTTTGATTGGATTCAAACAACCAGGAAAAAAAATGTTTTTGAGACAATTTAAGCATGGACTGGATATTAAATAATAATTAAGAATACATTATTTTTGTCAGGTTCAAATTTGGCATGGGTGTTTAATCAAATGTTTCTTTTACAAATGTTTGCACTATTTTTATAAGCTATTAGTGAGAGTTGTTTTAGAAAGTGGATTGATAGATAAATGCAATATACTTAAAATATGACCATGTTTACAAACCTACAGGTTTACATTTACATTGATAAAACTTTCCTGATTATATCACCCCAGGTTAATTTTGCAGACCTAAAATTATATTACATGTCAGCAATTTCTCAGTGAAAGCTTTCTACAGAGCACTCTACCACTGCCGTTCTCATTCCACTATTGTTCTGAGAAATACCAACTTAGTGGCATAAATACAGCTTTAACGTATAGGCACAGATATACCAAAGCAGGTTTCCTTCTTTAATTTCTATCATAACTAATGTCATCCTGCAATATAAATGTTGTATTTTAGTGGAGATTTGGAAAGTGCAGAACATCACGACATACTGCAGAGCTGCTGGGATGCATTCAAAAGCCACCATCTATTTGAAAATAAGTTGTATTTACTCTAAGCTTTTCCCCAAGCTCAACACACTTTTCCCACTTATTTGAATAGCTAATTATCTCACTTCACAATGGGCGATGCTCAAATAGCACCTCACTGTGACTTTGCCTGATGTTCCTACTTAAACTGTCACCTCCAGTGTCATCTTTGGCAGCTATCATGACTGGCAAACTATTTCATATTTATTTGATTTTTAACCCTCCTTTAAATATAAACCTGATGGACAAAGAGACATTCTCTTTCCTGTTCCCATTACCTAAGATAATAACAGCCTCAGAGTAGCTTTTCATAAATATTTTTAATGAAAAATGAGTAACTATATGAGTAATTACATATTGTTATTATGTACTCAGCTTTCTTTCTCTGGTTCTTGTGCCGGAATGTAATGTTAACAAAATAGAAGCTATTCTTAATTCTGATTAATGAATACATAATGTTCAAACAGTTCTTGCTGAATGATGTTTATTAATACAGAAATATTATATATCCTTTGAATGAAGAGTATTAATGTTATTAATTTCTTTATTATTCACATGTCAATAGCATAACCTTGGATATAGTTGATTTGGAAACATGTTTACTTAATGAGCAGATGCGATATATCTTTGGTGAAGCTACTTTTAAGGTTTTATAAAGAAAAATATTTGTGATATTCATTTGCATTTACAAGTTATTCCACCATGACTGTCTTGATTTTGAAAATTAAATATTTCTATTTTTGTGAGCCTAAATAGTTATAGGAAATCCAGTATATTGAAGATTTGATTTTTGTTTACTTTTGTTGCCTACTTTTTAATTTTAACTGACAAATTACAATTGTACATACTTTCTGTAAATAATCATTTCTTATTAAAACACCCAGACGGGCCGGCCCGTTGCTCACTCAGGAGAGTGTGGTGCTAATAAAACACCCAGACCTCCTTTGTGTTTGTGATCTATCATCACTCTGCTCTTTAATTTTCCAAAGTTCTGGTAGATTTGACTCAATTCCCAGCTATCGGGAGAGTCATATTTGTCATTCAAAAAAAATATTCATGTTATACTTACTTTGTGCTAGTTACTGACGAAAAAGTTTGGAATATATCAGGGATCAAAACAATGAAAAATACCTGCTTTCCTGAAGCTTTCTTTCTAGCAGAGGGAACTAACAATATAAAAAATAATGCATTGAATAAAGATTTTAAAAAATGTTTTAATCATGTTAATTACTTTAGCCACTAAAGTTGGGTAGTAGGGAAACCCTTGCAATACCATGGTGTGTTCATGGAAGATATCACCAAAAAGACGCATTTGGGAAAAAACTTAAAGGAAAGAATCCCTGTCATAGAAGGCACTTCTAGAAAGAACACAAGGAATAGTAATGAGGTCAGAATAGGAAACAGTAGGGAAAAAGAGGGATACCTGGACAGAGATTTAACAGGGATTAGATAATTCATCATTTGAATGTTTACTTTTTAAATACATTTGCCTTAACTCTCGATGAGTCATGATGATGACCTGAAAGCTGGAACTTCACAATTCTTCAGTATGTTCAGGGTATGTGGTATGGAGGAAGAGGGTTATGCCTGGCAAATAATAGTCACTCAAACAATATTTCATGATGATGATTCTTACATTCATATATATTTTTAGAACTGTAGGAGGGTGTGGTAGTGATCAGATGGCTGGCGAATGTGACTTTAAAGCATAAATTGTTTTATGTGAAGTAACCTTAATGCTGCTATAAATATATATATATATATTTTAAATGTTTATTTGTGACCTCAAGAGAATGGGGGAATAGATAGTCTCTAGGGCTCATATCTCCAAGGTTGTAACTATAGATTTAAGAACCCACACATAATTCCCAATGAAGAGAGGCCCTCCATTTTCCATTAGCAGGTTTGTGTTAAGATTCTAAAGACAGATTGATATTAATTTCCATCTAGAGAACAAATTGGGAGGAAGGAATCTCACCTTTTAGAGCTGTATTTTGAGAAATATAAGTGAGAGTGCAAGGAACAGAAAGTGCACTTTTTCTAAGAACTCTGTATTAGACAGCCTGGCTTAGCTAAGGTTCTCAATAACAGTCCCGGGAAAACAAGTACCCAAGGTGGGAAAGTAGACGAGCTCTGAGAATTTTGGGAGTGTGTATTTTCTTATGTCTGTTAATTTTTGGAGGAATAGTCAAGGTAGAATACACGGGTATTTAAGTAAAATGAAATAAACAAGGATGAAATAGACTCTCTAGTAAAAAATAAATAAATATATAAAAGAGACCAGCTTTAGTTAAGATTATAAGACAGGAAACAACTGACCCCTGAGACCAGTAATAACAACGAAGTTGGAACAAACAAACATAAAAACTACAGGGTAAATTTTAGCAATCATATTTTCCAGACTCAAAGATATAGAAACTTTTACATGCAATGCAAAGACAGCATTTGGGACATAAGATCCATTAAAATAAATTTAACATTAGCTTAAAATTTTAAAAAATGAAATGTTCAAGTAAGGAAAAAAATCATACTCACGAGTATAGAAACAGGTAGGGGGACTGCATATGATCTGACATCTTTACTGACAGACCGTCTGGAAACTATTTCTTTCGGTGTGTGATGAGAGATAATCTTGTCAGAAATGACAGAACAAGAGATTCCTGGTATGGTAGAATCTGAGAGGTGTTAGACACAGATTAGCAAAATATAATGATTCTTTGTTTCTGTTTTCTCCTGAGATGTCTCCATAGTCCCATACTACCTCAAGTTTTTAATCCTTCTCCTTTACAGGCAACAGGGGCAAAATGAATAACGTAGCTAACTAGAAGGGAGAGGGAAGATAGAGACCTAGGCAAAGGAAGCTTCTAGGTCAGAGTCTTTACTATATTTAGTTATTCCAGGGTGAGAAAGTTTTCCTAAATTCTGTTCTCGTGAGTTTCATATTGATGCTGCTTCCTAGTATATCTCTGTGGCACAAATCCTGTCATTGGAATATTTCCCATAGATTTAGAGTGTCTTGTTGGCTCACAAAGTATGATTATTAACAAAGAAACAGGATCAGGGTTTGGTGTAGAGGAATAGAGGCATAGCTAGGAATCTGAGGATCCCAGCACCAGTCATAGATGTGTAGATTGGTCTTTATCTGCATTTTATTCATCCTCTAGCAATGAGGAAGAAACTCACTCAGTGGAGAAGTATATGGAAAAAAATAAATTATGACATG